CTCACTACTGCGAACATCAGCAATGTTTCACGATATTCTTACCACTTTCATCGGCGATTAAACATCTTTTTACAGCCGACTCATGAAATCATCTAATCGACTTACAATGTTTAAACTTTCAATAAGTCAGCCGTTCACTTAGATCATGTTAAACAAGTGCAATTTAACCACAGTGAACAACATTTTTCTCTGAGGTACTTACACTTGAAAAGAGCCGCGTCGCCGCCTCCCGCCGTTCTTGAATATGGCGCCTCCTCTCGCGTGGCCTCATGGGATAGTAAAGTGTCCATCCTATGCATGCTACGGAATTCGGGCGGAAGTAGTAGGTCATCCGGGTACTTCTCGCCTACTGTTTTTCGAATACTATGAATTCGGACGTACTACTCGCCTCGCATACTGTTTTTCGCCTACTATATAGTATGGAAGTATGCGATTTCAGACGCAGCTTTTGTCTCTGTTTATTTTGAATACGCGCCCTCTAGCGGTGAAAATTACATATTGTGTCTTTAAAGGATTAGTTCACTTCCAGAATAAAAATGTCCTGATAATTTACTCACCCCTATGTCATCCGAGATGTTCATGTCTTTCTGTCTTCAGTCGCTAAGAAATTAAGCTTTTTGAGGAAAACATTCCAGGATTTTTCTCCATATAATGGACTTCAATGGGAACCAACGGTTAAATAGTATATAAATGTTGATTTTTTTATTTTTTTTTTTAGAAAATGACCGATGGTTTGGCTAGATAAGACCCTTATTCCTCAGCTGGGATCATGTAGAGCCCTTTGAAGCTGCACTGAAACCGCAATTTGGATCTTCAGCCCGTTGGTTCCCATTGAAGTCCATTATATGGAGAACAATCCTGGAATGTTTAGCTCAAAAACCTTAATTTCTTTGCGACTGAAGACAGAAAGACATGAACAGCTTGGATGACATGGGGGTGAGTAAATTATCAGGACATTTTTATTCTGTAAATGAACTAATCCTTTCAACTAATTTAATTTGAAATACCTGTTAATATTTACTGTGTGCTTAAAAAGCATGGAACCTAATGCACTCGCTTTATGTGGATATTTGTGAAAGTTTTCCATGTTATGTTACAAGCCATCTTAAATTTCTCAGAGGTCAAGGGTGAGTCTCAAGAGAGGGGTGATTTATGTGTTCTTTTTCCATGACACTTGATTGTGAGAAGCAATAAAGATGCAAAATTGGATAAAAACATTGAGACAAAGTGGCTGGAGCACAACTAGTAATTATTTCCTCATTGTGAATAGCTTGTAAGAGCAAGAATGTTATTAGTGTGTGGCCTGCTCTCTTATTGCGTCAGTGTTGTTAATGGTGCCAAAGCGCAAAGTGTTGGCTAAGAGGAGGACAGACATGCTTGTACAACAAGAGAGAAAGTTTTGTTTGCAGTGGTGTGGTGGTGTTTTCTTTCCTCAATGACTCTGACATTTAAATGGAGAGACGTGGATCATGCCTCACAGCTTCTGTTCTGCAGGTTGTTTCAGTGTGCACTCTTAAGTGTAAGAGTTTTTTGGGTAGTTGCAAAACTCTTGCATTAATATTTGTTTCGACAGTTTTAACCTTGTGACATTAGGATTGCCAGCCAATTTTTTTTTTTAGCAAAGTGGGCTTTCATAAAAAAAAACAAATTTGAGAACCCACCAAATGTTTTATTTTTTTATATTTGAATCAATTGTATACAAACTAAAACTAAGGCATAAATCAAAATAATAGTAATAAAAATAATAATACCTATACATTGCATTTATGTCGTGCAACTTAACTTTCAAGTTTTAGCCTAACTAAAGCTCAAGCATGACATAAGCCTTTACTGTCTTC